TGTGTGTGTGTGTGTGTGTGTGTGTGTGTGTGTGTGTGTGTGTGTGTTCCTGTAATGCTGCTGTTATCAGCCACAACCGGTTAGGCAATAAAGGAGAGAGAAGGTGCAGAAATACTAAAAATTATGCGACTCTTACGTCAAACAAGTCACCAAAAAAAAGTCTTATTTTTCCTGTGATTGCTTCATTGTGCTGTAATCTGCACACCCTTTGAATTCGTGTTCTTTACACTTTATGGTCCACAAGTAGAAATGTGCCTTTTAGTTTAATAACAGAGAACATATAAATGCAACACAATCAAACTACTAACAACAATATCGGAGACTTTTCAGTATTTAAAGAATGCTGCACATAATGTTCCCATGTGTTCATCTCTAATGCCCGCACGTATTCTGCTGTTGGTCGAGTTTTGCAGGCGACACATCGACGTTTATCTAATATTGCTTGATACGTTAGCTTTGTCTTTTTCCTCACGGCACGTTTGAAGCTCGACTCATTGCTCTCCATTACTTGCACTCCTTTCCCCCCCTAAGCACTCTTTGTTAAAGCACTCTCACTCTCTTACTCTGTGTCCTCTCTTCCTTGTTGTTGGCCTTTCCCTCGGGTGCACTTTCCCTTTCAGCCGTGTCCTAGTTCCATCGTCAATTTAAATGGTTCAGATTTCTTCGGAAAATGTGTTTCTTAACTAAATGTAAGGTAAAGCGATTGCTGTATGCTTTAGTGCCCTTTAAGAGTTTTAAGCATGTTTAATATTTATATAGCAAACATAATCAGTTCCGTGCCCAATACTGTATTACTGTAGTCATTTCGCCTAAATTAAATGTTTGATTTGTTTACTTTTAAAGCTGTTAAATTTGTCTGTAAACAGTGTGAATAAGATGGAGATATACTCATATCATCACGAAATTATACATTGATATAATTTCATATATTTAATAGGAGTACAGAGTTGGGGCACAGCTCTTTCCTCCCATCTCTAACTATCAGTCCTGTTTTTCAGTTTGTAGTCTGATGACCGTTGATGCTGAGAGACGAGATTCACGAACACGGCTTTAATTTAATAATCTGGAGAGGCAGAGCTGTCACAACTCATTCATCTCTCTGTCTGTCCACCAAACAATGCTGTTAATCTAAAAGTCTTACTGTGTGTGTGTGTGTGTGTGTGTGTGTGTGTGTGTGTGTGTGTGTGTGGCGATACGTGACCTTAAATGATGCTTTTGCAAGCATGCAGTTCCTTAACACCCGGGATGATACTCTGTTGCGAAAAGGGGGGAAGTTGAGATGTTTCACAACTGGGCTGAAGTGCTTTGAATAAAAGATGGCTGGAGGAGGAGTTTAGATTGTAATTTTTTATTTATTTATTTATTTATTTTTTTTTGTAACTGCTCTTTTGTGTAAGTAAGATGTGGTTAAAGTGACACGACGGACCCAGCTGCTTTGCATGTTTACATTCTTTGATGCTACATTGATATTGTATCATGATATGAGACTACATATCTTAGATTTTGGATATCGTAATATAGTGTAAGTGTTTTGATGGTTTTAAAGGCTGCATTACAGTGAAGTGATGTAATTTTCCTAACTTACCAGCTTTTCTATTACTCGCCTTTAACACTGAACACGTCATTATGTCCACATCAATCGAGATTATTTCCCAAAATTCTCATTGTGTAGAAGCAACAATGGTCGACCGTACGATCTCGTCACAATATCAATATCGCGGTATTTGGTCAAAAATATCGTGATCTTTTTTCCCATCTTGCCCAGCCCGAGAAGTAGTAATATTATTATTGACATTGAAATATATGAACATGTCAATACAGAACTAAATCATGACGTAGATTTGAACACATGGACCCTCGAGTACAGCTGAAGCAGTCAGTCGAGAATGGATTGGAATATGTTTGTTTGTTTGCTCATTGCTCTGTATGTTTGAATGTTTGTTTTAGGGAAGGCAATGAGCCCGGTGATGTGCTGACGGTGACCTACAGAGAGCTGCTGCAGAGGGTCTGTCAGTTTGCCAACGTCCTGAAGTCTCAGGGTACGTTAAAATCAACCTGATCTATAATAAGACAGCGAAGACTCGTCTAGTCGTCCAGTAAAATCCTTTTATTTCCTTTATTGATATTTACATGATCACATGATGAGCTTGTGTCCGTGTGTCTGCAGGAGTGAAGAAGGGCGACAGAGTGTCCATCTACATGCCGATGGTGGTGGAGCTGGTTGTAGCTATGTTGGCCTGTGCGCGCATCGGAGCTGTTCACTCCATCGTGGTGAGTTACAATTATTTGATAATAATGTCAACATGGTAAATTATGGGTGGTTTGAGATACAGATATGGATGTTAATACCGTGTGCATTGTTGTTTCCAGTTTGCAGGTTTCTCTGCAGAGTCTCTGTGTGAGAGGATCATTGACTCACAGTGTTCGCTGCTCATCACTGCAGGTGGGTTCAGGCTAAGAAAACCAATTCACGTCGCATGTTCCCTTTTTTAAAAAGTATCTTCATCAAACTGCTACTGGATGATTGGGATTCAAACCTCACTAACACAAAGCTTATTCCCTTATTATCCAGTGTATTACTACAGTAGATGGCGGCTGACACGCCCCCAATTTGGAGAAAACAGACAAGAGTATCAGCACGGGAGCAAAGCAATGTACTGCTGTGAACGGGAGCAGCAGCAAAACGTAATTTAGACACCCCAAAAAAATGTGCGCTATAAATAGAATATTTTCACCGCGTTACCTTGCTGTCAGACAGCCACTTCCTACAGGGAACTGAAGCTGTTATCTACGCTCTCTTCATTCTACCTCGCAGAACACAGGAGTTGCTGGCCTAGTGCTGCCTCGTTATTTTGTGACTTTTGGATCAGAACTAACCTGGTGTTCACAGCAGTACATTGCAGCTTTGAAAGATGATGAGAGATGACTTTTGAGACTGACCCGTGACTGAGCAGGGAGAGTTTCAGTGTCTTTCTCTAAGACATCTCAGCAGAGCTTGTTACTCTCGGTGGCTAGTTCGGCTCCTGCGGGACACGGAAGCCTCACTCTGGCTCCTCGGCTTGTGAAGCTAAGTGGCTGAAACAAGTGGCTGAAGGGGCTGCTGGCTGAAACGAGGTGCTGGGCTGTGACCAGTAATCATAGTCGTCTTTGCTGGATTAGGGTCGTGGGATATAAACTTGTTAATCTGCTGGGTTAATGGCCTGTGGTTCATAGAAGTCCTGTAGGCGGATCATGGACTCTTTTATTCTGACCGGCGGTGTAGAGTTTTATTACCTTGTAAAGAAAGTAATGATAGCATGAATGGTGAAACGGAGCTCAACTATCCAATGAATGGCATTGAGTTTTACTACCGTAGTTGATACATTTTAATTTTTAACTACCCATGATCCTACAGGGGGCAAGGATCAAGCTTTGCCTGCCTGCTCCGCCGACACTCCGCTGCTGGAGGCCCAGGCTGTACCGTATTATAAGCTAAATGTACTTAAAGCTGCAGTTGGTAACTTTTACAAAAAAACTTGTTATCATATTTGCTCAAACTGTCATTATATCAGTAGTACAGTGAGACAGATAATCCACAGAAAGGTCTGGTTCCTCTGCCTCCTCTTAGTGCGCCACTGGGCCTGAAGGGCAACAACCAATCAGAGCCGAGGAGTCTTTAACGCAACTGTCAATCACTGCTCGTAAACTCCGATCAAACTGTCAGACTAGGCGCCGCCCATCAAATATGAATCACGGTTCTGATACTTTATTGCCCATTCGATAGCTGTAAAATGAGCGAGTTTGCTCCGGTTGGTTGGCGGTGCTTGGTTTTGGCTCAACGGTTTTCAACATGCTGGCCGGGTCACAAACCTTCATCTTGTGGAATGCTAATGTTAGTCTGCTCGCCATGCAAACTTTAACATGAATAATAACCCTGTCCACATTATTTCCAGTCCTGCTTGCTGCGGAACAGAACATTTTTGTCTTGCTAAGACTGGACAGACTGCAGAATAAATCTTTGTTTTCTCTCTCGCTCCATGTCTCTCTTCATCATCCGTCACTCTCTTTGTTCATCTCGTGTTTTTATGTCTCATTGGTTCAGATGGTTTCTATCGAGGAGATAAGCTGATCAACCTGAAGTTCTTAGCTGACGAAGCGCTGCAGAAATGCAGAGACAAGTAAGCTGTCGAGAGAAACACACATGCACACACACACACACACACACGACCATACACACACCCTCATTGACAAAAATCATTCCCTAGCCTCAAACCCAAACCATCACAACTTCATGTTTTACTCCAACTCTTACTGTAAATTGTTACACAGACAGATTGTTTTGTTATTGTCATTTGTTATTGTTTATTTGTATCAAAAATGATGATTTTAATGGTTTTAAGGAGCCGAGTTTCTGAATTTTAGCTACATTTTTATTATAGGTGGATCTTCCTAATGAATAAAACTCACACCCATGCCAAAATGTATGCAATATGCATTAGCACAGCCAAAATGATCGAAAAATGAAAAAGCCCAAAAATGACTATAGTGCTGCTGAAGTGTTAGGACCCATGGAGGAGTGCCAGAGAGCACGCTGAACATTGAGAGAAACATCTTGGTTATGTGCTCACTTGGTATGAGATGGTAATGATTACCATGTCCGTGTTTCTGTGCAGAGGTTTCTCTATACAGAGGTGTATAATGCTGAAACATCTGTCCAAAGAAGCAGAAGAGACTCCTCTGGGCTCTCAGTCTCCTCCCGCCAAACGGTCCTGCCCTGATCTGCAGGTAAACGACAAACTTAAAACGTTCCAGACCCGGCCAAAGAGTCCCTGCAACAATAGTTTGACCGTCTATGGTTATACTGAATCATTATATCATGCTGTGTCTTTTTATTTGTGTTATTGTCGTTCATATTCTCTCCAACAACACATCATTGCTTTGCTTCTCCCATGTTTGAGACGTGGGAGAAGCAAAGCAGATAAAATATAGAGGGGTTGGTTTTACTAACATGTAAATAATACTCCTTTGACACACTATTGGATTTGGGCTTTTCATGGGATTTGTCAACAATAAGACGGACGCAGAGTAAAGCCAGTCTTCTTTCCTTTCCTTAAAGTCATGTTTCATTTCTATTTCTGTTCACCAGTTATGTTAAAGTTAGAGACTGATCTACACCTCTGACTTCTGTTGTATGTTCTGAAGATGGAAGGACTGTGACTGACTTCTCCTCAACTGTTTCTATGTTTTGTTGTTGTGGAGCTCTTAAAACTTCTCCATTTCTCAACTTGAGGTGATGTCGTGGACCCTATTTTTCTTTCAGTTTTGTGTGGTTTAATTTGGGTTTTTAAAGTAACCACTCTCCCTCATTAATTCTCCTTCCTCCTCCTCCTCCTCCTCCTCGTCCTCTTGCTCCTTTCATTCCCTCCCGTCCAGCAGGAGAAACAGACAGGGAGAGTAAAGAAAACACATCCTGTACCGCAGGTATTTTCATTCCCTCCTCCCTCCTCCCTCCACTAAACCCCCATAACACCTTTTTTGCTTTTTGCTTTTTGCTTTTTAAACGGATATTTCACCCACAAGTAGAATTTTCATATAACTGCTGCAGGGTAAAAACCATAAACAAAGTAAGAAGAACAATTCTTACTACAGTTAACAAGTCCTCTATGATAAATCTATGATTCTATGTATATTTATCCGATATCAATTAAGAAACAGTTCTTGCTGATTTGTTGTTTTTACCCAGCAACAGCAGTTCATTGTTCCTGTGATGACAATTCAGATTACATTTGTGAACATGAAAACAAGTATTTTATATTTTCTAATTTAGAAACAAATTAACTTGTACTTTAAACATGTCCTCTAATGACTTGTCAGCTTTAGAAATGACATTTTAGATTTGTACAATCTGATGATACAAACTGTAGCAGAATTACAGTTAAGACCAATATTGAGACTTATCTATTACATATTTATAGAAATATGGAAACAAAAATATTAAGTTTAGAGACAATATTGCTCTATAAATGATGGGACATGTTACTTGTGTTTTCTGGACTGTCTAAATGAAGTGGAATAAAGTGAAAATCCTCTAAGCTTGGGATTTGTATTAACGCTGTTCTTCTCTTGTTGTATCTGTTGTGAACTTTCCCTTCATGTTGCGGTCGTAGACTGTTTCACTTATTTGTACACAGCCCAAAGTCACCTGCTGTCTTATGTTGTATGTTCTTCTTTGTTAAGGGTGTTTTTCTTACTAATGTAACTCCTGTAACACTTGTCTCCTTTACGTACACATCAGGAAGAATCAGGGGTCCGTAGTTCTGGCTCACTTAATAAATTCACTTTGCCTCAGCCATTTTTAAACCCCTACTGAAGGCCCCATTTTAGTGCCGGCAGTATTTTAAACGTTCACTGTGGTGCGATGATGCCATCCTTTTCTTTACCGGTAAATCACTCGCTGCTGTGAAAGGCTTAAGGATATCGATAACATCTGTCTCTGTAGCTGTTAAATGCTCCGCGCTACAAATATGCTAAGTGAGCGGTGAGAGTGAACAAGAACAGGATGATGTAAAACTATTTAAAGTCTTTTTTTTTTTTTTTTTTTTTTAATGCAAAGATTTGTTAATTAGCAGGAATGTAGCACAACGTGGAAGTCAAAGCAGTGCTCTGTGGATTTCATTTTGGGTAAAATACACTGTGAATGTTTTTATTTTTTAAATATATAAACACAGCACATATATTTTAATGTAGTGGCCATGGCATGAACATGATAATCCACTTTAGATAATATAACGCGCTCCACTGAGTTATCAAGGTTCAGTATTGTATCTGGGTGATGTGGTGTTATTGTTTTACAAAATACTCTTTTTAATAATTAATTATTCTAAACAAATTGCATTGAAAACCATCTCTTTCATTAATTTATGCACTTTTTTCCAATATATTCATCACATTATGATCAGTTTCAGAATAAAATGTTGTTTTTAACATCATATTATACGATATAGATAACATCATATCTCTATCGTGCGTTACTTTTAGATAACTGCCCAGTTTATCTTTTGAGTATTACGCTTTAATTAATCCACTATATTCACACTTTATTTTTTTGCAGAATCATATTTTATGTCGAAATACACACTTTCATTTAAAAAACGTTTACCGTCTTCCTTGTATTTTGTCCAGATGCGGATACAAACAGAGCCCTGGTTCCTTCTCAGTAATTTAGTTGAATATAAATAAAGAAATACTTTGTCTCAGGGATCAGAGGTAGTCATGTGTTTTCTCCATTTCTTTATCTCTTTGTGCACAAACTGTTTCGCCCATAAAGATTTAAAGATAAAACCAGAACTTTGTTTTCTCTGGTTAATACTCAAACAAATTATTACAAATCTGAACATGTAGAGAAAACATGTTGGTTGTACTTGAAAACACAAAGCCTGCCAACATGATATTATCTTTAAAATGATGTGTGCTGTGTGTTAATTCCTCTTCAACATATAAAACAGCATTATGGGGCATGTGTTTCTGTGCGAGTGACGAGTGGACGTCAGATCTGGCTCGATTATCTGCTTGAAAGGAGCTCGCCTGATTCTAAAACCTTTCAAGTATTTGGAAAGATTTGAGTCTTTCTCTTTTGCTCAACCTAAATCTTTCTTTGCATCTTTCTTTCTATCTCACCTTTCCGTATCTTGATCTCTCTTTTATTTTACAGTTAGTCCAAATATTTTCAGGCTTTGTGTCTTACAAAAATGATTGCTTAAACTGTAGACGCATTTTACTTCATGTTTTTGTTTTGCTCTTCTTAGTTTATATCAGAAGGTAAGTGACCCAGTAACAAGAATAAGTTACAAGACAGCGTCCATGTTTGTAACTTTTCTAATGACTCTTTGTTGCTTTATTCACTGTAACTCAGATCTACAGCTTTCCATGTTTTGCACTCTTCTCCCAACTAGTTTGTCAAACTAACGTTCTTTCACTTTTGTTCAGTGTTTTAGATTGTAGGTTGTTGTTAATCTTTAACTGATTTCATTGATAACTGGTGTTGACTTGTCCTGTTTGTTTGTGTGTGTGTGTGTGTGTGTGTGTGTGTGTGTGTGTGTGTGTGTGT